GCAATTCTAAGCGCGTGTAGCGCTTAGATAAGATAGTCCGCCCTTATCCTTATCTTATCAAAGATGGAAGAGTGGAGACGCACCTGACTTGAAGTCACGTGCTGTTAGACACGTGACTCAAGCGCCCTAGTACTAATGTTAGGGTTTAGGGTTTAGGGTTCCGGTTAGGGTTCGGGTTCGGTTAGGGTTCGGGTTCGGGTTAGCGTTAGGGTTAGCTAATAGAACCAGAGTAAGTAACGACTTCGTTAATACGAGGACTAACTCGTGAAAGAACGTACGGTTAGGGTTTGGGTTAGACCGCAATACACGACCGCTATGAGGTGCGGCCGTACTTCTTTCTCATAATTGATAAACTTCTGCTAAAGAGGAGTTGTCAAACAAGTCGATATATCGACTGCTTCAAACACGTTAAGGGGGCTATCGTAGCCTCACGCGTATCGCCACCGTCCACTTTGCGACGAGTCGATAGCTGCCGATTTCGACCAGAATAGATCCGCCTTTCTAGATACAAGGCCAGTTCGTGGGCGCCGCTCAGGCTGGGGCCCATCGTCCGCTCACCACAGCTTCCCGAAGTCGGGGGGTATCCCCAAGCGACGTTCCGCCGTCTCCAAGTATCCTCGTCACTAACTGGACCGGATCAAAAGAACACACGCGCGTTAAAGGTGACCGAAGTTTCCAGACACCGTCGGCTTACCACGGCAAGCCCGAAGGCTTACCACGTCTGTCGTCGCGACGACACCTGCCGGCTTGCCTCCGGCCAGGCCCGGTCTTGACGGATAGGTAGTTTCAAACGCCCCTGGCCCGAAGGCCTACCGGCGGGTGGGGTTAGGGAGCGAGCGACGCGAGCGAGCGCAGCGAGCGTTGCGGCGCGAGCCAATGGAGACCGGGGGTCGAAGCAGAACAACAGGGTTGTTAGAGACTAACAACCGACCCTGTTTCGGCACTTAAGTACGGCCTCATCAGGTTCTGCAAGTTACCAGAAAAGGTAACACACTAGTTTAATCACTTAGACGCCGGGGAACGAGTCGGCAGTGAAAAAACTTTTTTACGTTCCGCGGAACGCATTACTTAAAATTACCAAAGTAGGAAACCGTACTCCGGTGTAACGGGACGGCGCTTGTTTTGGCGTCAAAGACATGTGGTTGTTGACGCTCATCAACCACGTGTCAATGGTGGACACGAGACATTAAACCTTAACATCACATGCTGGCGCTAATAAAAGCGCCAGTGAGTCACATGTGACGGGGTCACAAGAGCACGCGGTACTCGTGACCCAACTTAACCAAACATATTACCTAAAGTGGCATGGGTATTGTCCACGGGACTCTCCGTTAGGGTTTTGGGTTAGAGTTTGGGTTGGTTTGGGTTCGGCTTAGGGTTAGCTAAGTGTCGAAGTGTCAGCACTATGCGTAATCATGTATAATACATGGTACTTACGGTTAGGGTTCGGGTTAGCAGGCGTGTTGTCGAATACAACACATGTAATCCCTACTTTTCAGACGGACGGTTAAGTCCGGCGGGTCATGCTAGAGTTGGCATGAACACGTAAGTACGCGGAACGGTGCGTTAGTTTATACGCTAAAGACGAGTTAAGATCATGGAGGCCACCATAAGCTGGTACCAGCCGTACGGCCTCACGTAGGCCGGCGAGTACTAATGGTTTTATACCACCGGTCCGGTGGCCGGACCGACACTTGGCGAACACGTTCACGCCAGCGGCACCGCCGTATACTATGGATGGGCGCTATCCCAGGTGGCTACGAGTACAGCACTGCGCACTTAGCGCCACTCACAAAGCCTGAGATTACGGGTGCTCGGCATACCCAAAGTCGATAGCAGCGGTACTTCCGAGCATATCACCTGCTGGGCCACTAAGGGTATTTACTACACGGGAGGTTAAGACGTACGCGGTACACGGTTACCAACACCGGGTTATTTCACCCGGGCCGGGCCGTTAAATCCGATCCCTCACTTCGGATCCCGTCGGGCCTACAGCCGGACCGCCGAAGCGGAACGGACCTTCGCTCCGTAGAGCGCTCCGCACGAAGCGGAGTCCGGTGAACGTCAATTTCATCTGAGTATACTTGGTGTCGCGACGTGGTCACGTGTCCACCGTTGGCCGGTGGGCACTACCCGAAAAGGGGTATGTCACGATCAGGAGACGACCGCATGTGAATATTCATGTCGTGTTCTAACGCGTATTCGATACGCGACGACGTGGTAGGTTCATTATTGCGGGTGAATAAAGGTCCTCTTACTAAGGCGAAGTAGTGTTCGAGAGTCATCTGTTCCCCCGGAGGAGGCGCAGGCGGCTCAGGATCACGTTCGCGGAGGACCTGTTCGTCTAACTGCTGGAGAACGGTCTTTTTCCAAAGATTTGTGAGGTCGAACATGTTGCGTCCGCGTTTGCGGGATACAATCACTCGACGATCAACGATTTTTAGTGGACGTATGTCGGGAACGAAGAACAACTCACGCCCCGGCGGGTCGACGCGCATCAGAAATGCGGCCGACGCCGGCGAGGTTAGAGTGCCCCGGTCCCCTTCACGCGGGGGTGGAAACGGACGCGATCTGTCGCTCACGTCGAAATCCCAACGAGCGGCACGTTCGTACCACTCGTTCCAATAGTTGAAGATCACGTCTCCAAGTTCTTTAGCGTTGAAATAATTCCATGCGGTGTTAAATTCGGATTTAAGAACAAGAACGCCTTCGTTCGCGTCCGTTGCGGGTTTCTCTGTTAACCGCTTTGTCCATCGTTCTTCGATGTACGTTCTCAACCACTTGATAACTTCATCATAGGGGTAACCACGTTTAATGTACAGGCTTACAAGTTCCCGCACAGCTCCAATATAGCTCGGTAAAGTGCTACTTAGTGTGGCTAACCTAGACATCTCTCCAGAGAACGTACCACGTTTAACATCGTACGGGTGGTGAGAAATCCATGGAATTCTTTCCATATGGTTATGTTCCTTGCGGTACGGCTTATGTTGTAGACGACCGTGGTCGTCCGCATACAATGTCATATCTAAAAAGTTCACCGAACGGCAAGAAGCTTCCCATACTATTTCACAACCATCGAACGAGATTTTATTGTTTACAATCGAAATAGCCTCCAATTCACTGTCGGCGTATACTATTCCTAAACAATCGTCGATGTACCGACCGTAGAAAACTACGCGGTCGTCGTGGAGAATACCATTTTTCATCTCGAAATATAAACCGTAAAGGTTCGCTAAATCTGGAGAATCCGCTACGCCCATAGCAAGGCCGCGGAGTTGGAGGTATTTTTTACCATCGAATTGTGAAATTAAATCTGTATTTCCGATTCCAAGCGCGTCGCGAAACACCCTCCGATAGCGAAGGAAATGACGTGTTTCGTCGTCGGGCTCGTCAGAGTCGATATCTTCCGGTGTTATGGGCGAAGACGCCAGATAATGGTTGCACCACATGTCAAAGACTATATTGAGACATGGTTCCAGAGGAACATTCGGATAGAAAGCGACGACGTCACCGGCGACAAAATACCACCGGCGATTGGGTCGAAAAGACAGCTTACTCAATTTTATCGCCAAATCTTTAGAACCGTGTATAACGGTTGGCGCCGACTGAATAATCGGTTTGAGGTGTTTTGATACAAACTTAGCACACGGATTCATAAGGGCTGAGTGACATGGCACGATGGGGCGGTACCCCGTGGGTTTCTTATGAATTTTAGGGATTACATAAAAATCCGGGTATACGTGCGGGTCACCGGGCGACGTGAGTTTGCTTTTTAGAAACTTACCCACGCCGAAGTCCGCTAGTTCAGGAACTCCCTCGGCGAGTTCCGCTACTTGAACTATAAGTGCGTGTTTGCGGTCCATAATTACCTGCGCGTCAACATCGCTGATCTGACGGTAGTCTTTCGGCGACGCGAGCGTCTTATGGGTTGCATCAATGAGCCAGGTTCTCTCGGACACCGCTAGTCCCAAGTTCTTATCAGTGGGCGTGACCACATAATCGTGGTCAACCAAGAACTGGCGAATAAGGCCGGGCTTGGGCGCAAGAGATTTAAAGTGAGCGCCTACGTTGCCTTTTTCGTCATATGTGGGTATTTTGTCGAATATCGAGTTGACATAGCGACGACCCATGACGAGGCCGAGTTCTAGCCATTGCGGTAATACGGGGGGATCGCGTTTCTTTTTCTTAGAAGCACGAACGTCGTAATCTGGATCATAAGGCTGATTCAAACCTTGCTCAAACGTGAAGTGTAAACGCCAGCGAAGGCGGCGTTGAAAGTCATTCCACGCGTTACGAATAAGATCGCGGTTGCACGGTTTGTAGTATAAATATCTTAAGCCGACGGACAGGTCATACTGAACCCATTCGGGTAAGGAGACACCGGGAGAACAATGTACATTATCACGGAACCGGGACGCTAGAATTACATCGTAGCTAGTGTTCGCGAGTACATAATCGATCTGCTGGCGTACGGATAATGTGAGTATCCGGTCTGGGAGAGAGGCAGGACGGCCGTAAACGTACCGTTCTACTTGCTTGCCTTTCCCTTTCCCTTCTTGTCGGTCTTCTTCGCGGCCGTCTTGGACTTTGCGGCTGCGGCGAGCGCGCGCTTCATCGAGTTCTTCGCCGAATTTTTGTTCAGCGAACGAGTCGTGGGCGGGAGGACTTTCTTCGCGTCCCCGCCCTTGCGCGAGCCCGAAGGCTTCGAGGGTTCGGTCTTCTTCTTCCCGCCCTTGGCTTTCGCCGCCTGGGAGAATCGAAGGATTAATAGGGTATAAGGACGGCAATCGAAATCGCGGTCCAAGTACCTGTTTCATCACGCCCTCGAGGGGCTTGAGTCGAGCAGCGACGGCCTTGTCGACGAGGCTCTGGACAGAAGGTCCGGGCTTCGCGACATCGGCCATCTCGACATCGGCCAACTTTTCGACTTTCTTCTTCTTCTCGATCTTCGTCGACAGCGCAGCGTGCTTCGCGTCGACGATGACGATGCACCGCATGAGCCATGCGGGAAGGTCGGTCATAACCCGGTGGAACTCCGTTTGCACGGACGGGTCAGGTTGCCAGCCAACGACTTCAACGTCGTCGACTTTCGAAGCAGGGAAGTTCGCCCCTCCTTTTTCAGTAATGAAAACGTCGGGGTTCCCTTCGTGTGAGTCCATATCCTGATCCTCACCGCTTGCGCCCTGCAAGCGGTATTTGAAGATCGGAACTCGGCACTCCTCAATGGCCTTGTTAAAGGCAACAATGAGCGACGGCTTGATAGCCGTCATGAGCTCCGAGGCGGACAACTGCTCCTTCAAGAACTCGAGCTCGAATTTCTTGGCCCGCACAGCGGACGCAAGAACCGACGTCTGGAATGTCGTACGAGCCGCAGCCATTTCGGCTTTGGCGCTCGAGAACTTGTTCGCCGCTTTGTCCGGTCCAGAGTTAACAAACTCCTTCGCGGCCTGCAGCGAAATCTCCCCTACCCGAAGGTTAGGGTTAGGGTTAGGGAGCGAGCGACGCGAGCGAGCGCAGCGAGCGTTGCGGCGCGAGCCAATGGAGACCGGGGGTCGAAGCAGAACAACAGGGTTGTTAGAGACTAACAACCGACCCTGTTTCGGCACTTAAGTACGGCCTCATCAGGTTCTGCAAGTTACCAGAAAAGGTAACACACTAGTTTAATCACTTAAACGCCGGGGAACGAGTCGGCAGTGAAAAAACTTTTTTACGTTCCGCGGAACGCATTACTTAAAATTACCAAAATAGGAAACCGTACTCCGGTATAACGGGTCGGCGCTTGTTTTGGCGTCAAAGGCATGTGGTTGTTGACGCTCATCAACCACGTGTCAATGGTGGACACGAGACATTAAACCTTAACATCACATGCTGGCGCTAATAAAAGCGCCAGTGAGTCACATGTGATGGGGTCACAAGAGCACGCGGTACTCGTGACCCAACTTGACCAAACATATTACCTAAAGTGGCATGGGTATTGTCCACGGGACTCTCCGTTAGGGTTTTGGGTTAGGGTTAGGGTTAGGGTTAGGGTTAGGGTTAGGGTTAGGGTTAGGGTTAGGGTTAGGGTTAGGGTTAGGGTTAGGGTTAGGGTTAGGGTTAGGGTTAGGGTTAGGGTTAGGGTTAGGGTTAGGGTTAGGGTTAGGGTTAGGGTTAGG